CTAAGTGAAAATGCCTTGAGAAAAAGCCAACTTGGCTGCTTACCAAGATAGCGAACAACAGCTACCCTCACAGAGATGTCCGGTTATTCAGTAAATTAAAAAACTGAAATTTTATTCAGATATTTTTAAATGCTTTTTTTTTATTCTGGCCAGGAGGATCTTCGCATAAATTCTCTGCATATGCTGGAGCTGGTAAAGTCTCTGGCGCCATAAAATCCATGTATGAAGGAAACGAACGTGGCAGAAAACAAATTGGGGAAAACGAAAAACAGATGCAGCTTAAACAAAAGTTTGGCGTGAAGGACAGAAGTCTGTGGTGTTTGCGGAGCTGGTCCTGAAAGACATCAGCTTAGCTTCAAGTGGACATGACGGGTATCAATGGCGTCACTTGTTATACTTTCAATAATTATAGTTTTACTATTATTAAATAATGCAATGACAACAACAACAAAAGTATTATTATTATTATTTTTGTTGTTGTTCTGTATTTCTGGAACCAAGTCACCCACTAAACCTGGTCTCACACAAAGAGACTGTAAATCTTCCTGTCTCTAGAGAGAAGTGGATCATTTGAGTGCAGACACTGAGGGTCATTTGGGTCTTTGAGAAGAGACTTTGTCACAGCTAATTAGCGAGATCTAGAGATGCATCGAGCAGATAGACCTGCAAGAATAGTGTGATGGAGGGAGAGGAATTGAAACAGGCCATTTTACTAGCTTAGTGGGAATCGTAGCCAAGAAACATGGCAGCCCGTTTCAAGCCATTTGTACGGATGATAAAATGTGGAGAATGCAAGTCCTCTCTGATTATATCAGCACTTTTTACTACCGTGATTATAGTTATTTTCTCTCTACTCCCACAATCTTTGTTTTTCTAAAGTTTTTTCTTGCATTTGAACAGAATCTGAATATTGCACAGAGTCATGGTGAAATATTTTTCTTTGATAGTGAGTTTGGAACGAATCACTGTTTTGTGCACGTGTGCACAAATGTGTTTGTATGTGCGCGTGTGTGTGTGTGTGTGTGTGTGTGTGTGGTCCAGGTATGCCTTACATTGTGGGGACCAAATGTGATCACCTGTTTTTGTCATTGTGGGGGTAATTTTTTGGTCCTCACAAGGGGAAATTGAAGTTTATAAAAAAAAATATATTAAAAATATCGTTAAGGTTAGGGCTGGGTAGGGGTTAAGGTTGTCATTGTTGAGATTAGGATTTTGCCCATAGAAATGAATGGATGGGCCCCACAAATATGAGTACCAGTGTGTGTGTGTGCGTGCGCGAGCGGGTGAGCGGGTTTACCTATCCTTATGGGGACACAATGTTTCCTGGTCCCCATAAGGGAAAACTCTATTTTATAAAAATCGGTGACTGCTATGAAAAAACTAAAAATGCAAACACTCTTGTTTTTTGTTTGGTTACTTATGGTTATGGTTAGGGCAGGGTGGGGGTTAAGGTTGTCATAGTTAGCATTAGCATTTTTCCCATGAAATGAATGAGCGGTCCCCATAAGGATATGTTTACCCTACGTGTGCGTGTGTATGTGCGCGTGTGTGCGCGCGTGTGTGTGTGTGTGTGTTTGCGCGTGCACACGTGTGTGTGTGCACAAATGCATACATGTGTCTGGTTTGACCAGCCAGTTTAACATAATCGTGAAATATGATCTTCCATGTGTGGTCTGATCATGGCAAAAATGTGGAATAAAAATGTCAGCGATTAATGATTTTCCTAGGGGATCTCATGCAGTTTTCATTGGTATGTCTGCTGTGTAATATGAAAAATTCTGTAATTGGAATAAGCTTCATATTACCTTTCATGTAGTGGTATGTGTCTCTAGGGTCGGCCGGTGTGGTGATATTGGCACACAGCTATTTGGCTTATATAAAATCCACAAGCAAGCAGTTTATGCCTGCGACTGGACAGTCTGTCTTTGGATGGATCCTGTAATTGAAATAATCTATTGAAGCCATACCCTCAGTAGAAGGCATATCAAAATGACATTAAACGACAATGTGCATAATTTTCTCATGTTACTTAATAAAATGGTGCATAATCTATGCTCCAAACAGATTATGTTGAGCCTCTAATTATCCGTCTTTTTTTTTTTTGACACACATTATTAAAATTCCATCAGCTGTGGCCTATACCGTGATAAGAACCATTAGAAGTGGAAGCTCATTAGAAACCAATCTTGACAGTTTCAACCTGTGTCCTCTGGCGGGACAGAGGAAGCATCCATCATGATGTCTAATACTGTGGCTAAAACACTGGTATTTCATCTGCAGTAGCAGGTGATTTATCTCTAAACTCCCTTCTCCCTTCATAGTCTTTGAACCACCACACAAGAACAAAAAGCTAAATAAAAACTCTGTCTTAACATCCTCCCCTCCTCAACATCTGTTGCTATGTGACCATTGTCAACGGGAATCATTTCAGGCAAATGTTACTTTTGTTGAGGCGCAGATCCCCTGGGAAGCATTTAGATCTCTCTGGGGATCCAGCAGGTGATTGTCATTCCTGCCATCTGAAGTGTCTTAATGGACACTTCAAGCAACAATCTCATGGAAACCTCTAGAGCTACACGGATGCCCGCTGTGAGGGGATCTCCACATGCCTGCCGCAGATCTCATCCTCTAGGGGCCGTGAAGCTCCCGTGCACCAAAAACGGGGGCTGCCAAGTCTGGGCCCTGCCCAAACAACTTGCCAGATTTAAGGTAGTCTTAGCTAAATGTAAGTGAACATAGAAGAGTAAAGTCCATTTAAACCAGGGTTCCTTAATTCAACAAGTTGTCCTGCTAAGCAAGAAATCCGGCTTTGTGATACAGACCCCTGCAACAGAGCCCTTAATGGCATCAGTTTCACCAGCCAATCAATCAACCAACCAACCAACCAATCAATTAATTAATCAGTTAATCAATCAACCAATCACACATGTAGTTCTTTATAAAGTTGTAGATAATTCAAATCCTTTTTTGTTACAATCCTCTTACAATCAATATTACCATTTTCGAGGGTTAATTAATGTAGTAATTAATTGAGGGAGTTTTTAATACAGAAATCCAAGGAATTATACTTGTCAACAATTAGTTTTTGGCTTTGGAAAGTCCCAAACTAAATCCTGATAAATGTATTCTTCAGACAAACATAACATGAAATAAAGAGGCATGGTATGTTTTTTACTTTATTTAGTAAATCATGTCACATGTCCTCCTTCCTTTTTCTTGACTAGCCAAAGAATGTGCTGAGGTGTAATGCCATTTTTACCATCACTCTCGCACCTTGGCTGCTGAAGTATCAAAGAAAGGATCTGGTTACAATTACCCAGACTGGAATGAATGAATGAATGATGATACTTTATTGATCCCCATGGAGAAATTCTCTTCTCACCTACCCCATCCTTGCTCTCCACGACACACAGACACACATGTAGGTGACAGCAAGCTTGGCAGTGAAGGGCGGCCGCCTGCAGTGGGTGCTGGGGGTTAGGGGCCGTGCTCAAGGGCCCACAGCCATGACTATTCTGCCGAGACCAGGCTTGAACCGGTATATTTTGATACCCTTCGGACCGTGGGTGTCCTGAAAGTGAAAACTTATCTATAAAGTAGTTTCACTTAGCTGAACCTGCTATGTTAATTATCCGATTAATGTTATAAACGTCTAAACATCTTTTATATACATACTTTGGATCATTGACGGTGTTGAGTAGACGTGCCTGGTGGCCCTTGAGCTAAATTTTACTTCCACAAATCCTCCGACACCATTTCTTCCCTCCATGCTTGCTTGTTAACATGCCGGCCAGGTTTTATTTTTTGTTACAGGTTCGCTTTATCTTTGTCTCAGATCGTTAGGCCGCTGCTAAGCTTCACTGGTCCTGGGCACTTAGTCCCACAATTGCTTCCCTTACATTGCTGTCTTTTTTTTTTGTTTGTTTCTCTTTTTGCTAGTTCCCCAAAGGAATAATAATGAATGACTTTTTTGCACCCCCTTGATCTTGACTGGTCTAATTGTACTCACCGAGACATTATATGGGACAGGAGGCAAGGGGTGCAACTGCAGGCAGAACTGGCCGCTTTCAGCCGCTGGATAAGCAAACTTTCCTCAAGATCGGTTTAGAATCGTGTTTTTTTCTAACTTAACTCCTTAGAGCGCCGATAGCTGTCCGTTTTCCAGCCTCCTTCCCCAAGCTGCGGAGGTGCATCCTACTGACAGCACTGCAACACCTGTCTGTTCTCACTTTGGCTTATGAACAGCTGCCTGGCAAATGCAACAAATGCATGAATTGCGAGGACTTGCTTCTTTATGCTGCCAGTCATTAATATGATATATTCTGCCTTTCCCCAATACTTCTTTGATGTTCCTACATATGAATATAATTTGAAAGTGAATATATAACTCAGAAGTTAAAACAATCTGACGAAAATGCATTGTGATATCCGACTAACATGATATCGACGGAACATGAGGTGGAACTCTTTGGCAATAGCTGACTGTTGTTCTGGGCTCCGTTAGAATGGGGAGAAACACTTTTAGCCACAATGGAAACATCATGTGAGTTTGCAGCTGGGAACACAGGTCTCATCCATGGTGCGTGATTTTTCAGGGCAAGCCCTGATGCTACCCTCGATGATAGAATAATCCAAAGGTCTGATGAACGTAAACCTGATTAGCATAGGTCAGGCGCACGGCTGCACAGTGACTTTTCTAGGGGCAAGTGCTGGATCGGAAGGTGGGAGCGCGATCCCAGTAGATTTAGCACGATTGTCGCTGATACCAGTGATATTTCCCACCTGTGGGAGGGGGTATCATCAGTGAAATATGCTGATGAGGGATGGGGGTCACCCTCGATGATCGAGAAGAGGTACTCAGTACGTCAGTAGCAGGGTACTTTTGACCATTTGGGCAAAAGGGGCGGGTGATCAGGCACCCTCAGCCCCCCCACTCCACCTACTGCACATGCCTAAGGTCAGTGGGATCTGGGAGAGAACGATCCAAATTCCAAGCCAGCGGAAGCCGAGAGTCCAATCAGTGGGTTTAATTAAGGGAACGATCCGGTCATCATCTCTTATTCATCTGCGTGCTCATGAGTAAAAGGTCAAATTTAGTGATAAGTGGGTTACTGGAAAACACTCACTTCTCTGTTGAAAACTCCTGAGGGTTAGTTCTGGAATCACCAGGGTGGAGGCATTTCTAAGCGGTGACTAATTTATGAATAAGGTGCATATGGCTCATTTGAAATTTGACAGCAATCACGTCTACGCGACTTGACCTTTAACCTACACCGTGTCACACAATTTCTGGCCTTTAGTCCGGCGTAAGTGTGACCGTCACATGCGTGATTAATCGCCGGTGACATCCTGAGCTGGGGGGCATTCTCACGACATCCAGTTTCTGTTCTGTGGAAAATGACCCCTTTGCCTAGTCTGGGTGGTACAGAAATGAGAATAGAATAGTGAAGAGCTGGCCAAGGTCTTTCCTCCAAAGTAGGATCCTCTCTTTGGCTTCTCCACTTGTAGTTAACTGGAACGTACCAGTCGGTACATGTGCATTGATGCTGCACGGCTGCATTGGACAGGGCGGTGGGGAAATTAAAAAAGAGGAATAAATTAGATTAAAATATGAAGGATGTGTAAATTTGGTAAAATTCTGTTGATGTGAGGGAGGAAAAAAAAACAATTATCAGCACAGCAAGAAATCAATTAAAATGAAACTAAGAAATGGCTCCTTCGTTATTGTATTTCCATTGGGTATAATGGTAGAGCTGTTGACAGGTGTCTAGCAAAGCTTCTAGCTGGTTGTCTAATCAATCTGCCTTGAACGATATCTGGGCTTGGCTCCAAATGTTTAACCTGAGCTAAACAATGATCCATAATAATATGACAATTCACCCAAAGGGTGATGTTCCTGAGCTATATATCAGATCTCCTCCGCCTTGCTACTGCTGGGCCAGGTCAGAAGGGAAATCTTTGTATAAGTAACCTGCTGTTCACTCCACTGTGTTGCGTAATGGCCTTGCAGTTGTTCCTGCGAAGTACACAGGCGCTGAAAGACCATTACGACAAATATCATTCTTGGTCTACACAACAATAATTTGGCTGTTGGCCAGCGATGTCCAGCCAAATGAATATGAAGTTAATGTCCATCTGCAGGGACACTTAATCAATTCATCTAAGATAGATGGTCTTAAAGGCCCCATGCTGGATGTGACTAAGCAGTGCGGCTTTAATTTGTTTCAAATGATGAAAGACACTCAGGTTTTGTGCGACGGCAGGCCCACTCACTGAATATATGGAGTCTCAGCCTGAAGCGGAATCAAATGCAGCAGTTTCCAGCAGAGTCCAGCTTGGCCTCCTTCCTCAGAGAACTTGACTAAATGAAGCAGCAGAAGAAACTCGGTGTATAATGTATTCCGAAAGGGCAGATGAATGAGAGGAAGCGGAAGGCCACTTATTTATATAAGAAATGACATAGGGTGTAAACACCTTTCTTTAAATGCATTTGACATTGCATACCCAGTACTTTGTACCATATTCCATCACTGCAAATGGCTTTTAATGTCACTGTCATAGAAAGACCCTCTTCATCAAGCACTTTTTATAAAAGCTTTAGAAATACTTTAAATGGAATTGGTATAAACAAAGAATGAATTGTCCTTGGTTGTTTTAATTTCAATCAGAGTGATAAAAACTATAGGACAAGATTCTGAGGGACCACAGACCTCACATATCTGGTGAGGCTTCTTGAATGATGAGTTTGTCACATTCACAAACTGATCTCATCTTTGGTAATAAGCATGAGGAAAAAATGGGGATTAGAAATTGGAATTTAAATACAGTTGGAATTAGAAATTCAAAGAAACACACTATATAAACAAAAATGGAGGGACACCAGCCAATTACACCTACAGGAACTTTTATGACATCACATTCTAAATCCATAAGCATCAATATGGAGTTGGTCCCCCCTTTGCATGCAGCTATAACAGCAGCCCCTCTTCTGGGAAGGTGATTTTATGTGTCTCAATAATTTTGTCCAAGAAGTGTACATTTATAGCAATTCCAGTCAGTGCAAACTCTTGTGTAAAATTTCCCAGGAATTCAAATGAGCCATTAAGTCTAACCACAAGCATCTGAAATTCTGAATCATTACAGACGTTCTAAGAGGATTTTGTGACATCAGGTTTAAAATTATCATACACATACTTCTCAGCCACAAAGAATGTATTTTTTGGAAATTCAGAATTTTAAATCTGGGAAATCTTCTGAAATACAGGTCCATTGACCTATTATGAACCAGTTCTAAGATAATCAAAAAGTAGTAACGAAACAACAGAGTTATGAAGTATAACTTTTTTTACTCCGTGTTATTTGGACTCGGAAAAGGCCACTCAACAGGAACAGAAAATTGCTATATTACGAAACAAAAAACACCGCTGATGGATTAAGCCAGTGTTGTCTTAAGATTTAATTTTTTAATGCTGTGTATCATAATGTTCTTCTTTCTAAATTGTCCTGTTTTAATTTCTCTGATAGCAAAATTAAATGGACTGAATCTCATTTCACACTACAAAACAATGTGGAAGTAGTGAGAATGCGTGTCTCTCTAACAGACTGGAGTTCCCCCAGGGTCTATCACAACACTGTCGTTTACGGTTTATGTCAAGCACCTGTCATGTGTTTGGAATGATGCTTACAAATGTATTCAGATGAACCTGTCTGTTTTTTCGTTCATTGTAAAACAAAGCGAAAGGTCATTTTCCATACCCGAGCATCCTGTGCAGGGACACGGGGGTCAGGATCACTGCTGGGGCGGCAATTCAAAGCCAGGTCTCCAGAAGCAAGAGATGACCAGTCTGACGGTTGTGCCACCACATCATAAGGTGCCATGAGTTCCTCAGTTTCTCAACCTTCATAAATTCATCCAAACATAATATGTACTTCATTAAACATAAAAGAATGACTGACAGCTCGACTTTTACATGGACTGTATGGTTTATAATATGGTATCATTTATAATTAATAATTCAGAATTGGATTTATCCAATATTTCAGATGAGGCATTAGTGCTTGATGATTATCGCACCTGTCCTTTCTGAGATTGCTTCCACTGCGTAACCTGGCTCATGTTGGTGGCTGGAATGTAATGCCAGCACTACAGATGATGACAGGACAATGGCATAACAATGACAGTTAATAGAACAATGTGAGCAATCGGCCATCTGTCTGAGATGCCTCCTGCACACCCCCCCCCCCCCCTGGGGAGGTGCTGGACATGCTGTGGAGATTATATCTCTCAGCTGGTCAGCTGGCCTGGAAGCACCTTGGTGTCCCCTGGAGGAGCTGGAGGAGGTGGCTGGGGAGAGGGAGGTCTGGGCATCCCTGACTAAACTGCTGCCCCTTCGACCGGGTCCAGATGAGCAGGAGATGATGGATGGATGGATGGATGGATGGATGGATGGATGGATGGATGGATGGATGGATGGAAGGATGGATGGATGGATGGAACAATAATTTGAGGCAGCCAAGGGCAGGATGGAGCCAAGATGACATGGAGAAAGATGCATGCTAGGGATTCTGGGCGGCTTAGGAGAGGCGCGAGATGAGGAGCCTCTGCTGGAAGGAGAGCATCCTTAGTACTGCGTCTCATCATGTCTGCCTCCAAAGTACCATGACGTAATGGCAGAAACATCTGGAAAAGGCTCCACATCAGCCACCCCCCCCCCTCCACCTTGCACTGCTTCCCAGCTGACTGCAGCCCTTTATGGAATAAGTGCCTATGGAAGATGGATGGATCGTACGCATAAATCCAGTTTCGGGGATTTGGGGAATTAAGGGAATCAAGTTTCAATGGATTCTGCTGTGATTCTCTCTCATTTAACATGTTGCATCGCTAGCCGATGCTGCGAGGGACTCGCCAGGTACAGACCATTACAAGACTTATGTAAAGACTTTTTTTAAATTGTATAAAAGCCAATTAATTATCATCACTATAATGTAATTGGGAAGTTCAACTCTCTGACCTTTACAATCACATGTTTGATGTACAGCCGCTGTCCCATCGAAGGGGTTTATATGACATCAAGATGCCGCATTAAGAGGCCTGATGGGCAGACAGAGGCCTGCTCACTGCGCATCTGTCCTGGGTAGCTTTCAGCTGCCACACCGTCATGGAGAAAAAGCTAAAGGAGTGAGAGGGAAAAGGCCGACGAATAGCAGCCAGCTAGCTTTAATCTCTCTGACAGCATTTCACCAAAAAGTGCTATTAGTGTCAGGTTTTTTTGTTTTGTTTTGTAATTTTTGAGCTAATGGGCTGAGGGGTTAGACGACACCACAGTCTGTGACTTGATTATTTGTCAGTTTATTTATTTATAACACCCATAAACTGCGCTGCCTTTAATGAGCCGAACTCCAGCGTACAGAACTGGGGGGGGGGTGTAATTCTGGAGTGTGCCACCTTTAATGTGAAATAGCAGAAAATGGGGTGGGCAGACTAGTTAGCAGTAATACATTTGGGCACCAAAATCAAAGACTGTGTGTGCAGATGGATACACACCCAGATCAAAGGCTACTGCAGATGCAGACTTTGTCTGTACTGGTCACTGTTTCAATCATATGGACTAGGAAATTTTTGCATTGAATTAGGTCAATATGTATATATTCAGATATGTAGCTCTTCTGGGAAGTTTTGCCCATTTTACCTTCTAACCCCTGCAATTGTTAACGATTTAGCTAAGAAAATGGATGTTTTAATTAACTGTGCATTTAGCTTGGATTTCTCATTTGTCTTGATATTGATTTCTTTTCTTTTCTAGGTAATAGAATAAGGAAGACAGTTTAGGGCCAGGCAGGAGGTCACGAAAAACTCAAAAAGCTCTGATTGACCCCTTTCACTATAACTGAATAGCATTTAAAAGGCCATTTCAGTTACTGCATTCAGAAATTCTCAATTAACGTTGATGGGAAATTGGACAAAAACACTAACAATAACACTTCTAGTGATAAGCAGGTGCAGGCATTGTGTGATAAATTTATGTAATCTTTATTCAATATTTAGTAACTTTTTTTATTATTATTTTTCGCCCCAATGCTCTTGACATTTAATTACTGATTGAGTGGCACTCAGCTTAAATAAGCTACAGCACATGTCATTATACTGTATTTTTGTAATTGATGTGAATCATATCAAACATTTAGAAAGCAGTCTGTGATGCTCCTAAAGACAAATATAACTATTTCTGAATCCATTTTGCACACAGAGACTCACACACACTTAGATTTGGTGCTTGACACTTATACACTTTTGGTAGGAACCCAACCTTGGCAGAATTGCAAAATATAACACAGGAGTCAAACGCACTTGTATTTTCCAAATTAGCTTAAGTGATACATTAAAAATGAGTTATAGAATTACAGTTGAGAAGCTAACTTTAATTGATCATGCAGTAAATTTATTGAAATATGTAGCCTTACAGATCAGAAATTGAAGGGGTTTAAAGACCTAAAATCCCCCTCTCTGGAATAACCAAAAGTTTTTTAAAAGTACCTTTTCCTGTGTGTTTCCCGGGCAGTACATTGCTCACTGCAATTCATGTCTACAGTTATTGCTACATTCCATCTGAGCCATTTGTGGGCTTGAGCTGCACTTGTGCCCAGTCAGCTCCTTGCCAGCCCTGCCTATGGAATGTGCCGTTTGCCTCACTTTTGCGTCACTTTGGACAAAATCACCTGCTAAATAAAATAAATGTCATTTCCGATAGACTTCCTTAACTCTCATTCCTCAGAACAGTCGGTGGTGAGACTAAAATCCATGGTGATACCAACATGCACAGCTTGCATGTGTTTGAAATGGCACCTTATTTGCAATTTACAGAAGTACATGGGAATGATTCTTTTCACATATCCCATCATGCTCTCCTCTGAGGCACACACAAACACACACACACACACACACACGTCGGGTAAACATATCTTTATGGGGGCTGCTCATTCATTTCTATGGGAAAAATGCTAACCCCTACCCAGCCCTAACCATAACCATAAGTAGCCACGCGAAATACAAGAGTTTTTGCATTTTTAGTTTTTTCATTGCAGTCACGGATTTTTATAAAACAGTTTTCCCATATAGGTACCAGGAAACTGGTCCCCATAACGTAAAAAAACGGGTATTCATCATGTTGTGGGGACATTTGGTCCCCACAAGGTAAGGTATACTTGGACCGCACATACACACACACACACACACACAAAGCTTGAGGTCCAAGCCATTCACGATTATGACAGCCTTTATCGATCCCTATGGGAAAGCAGGGAGCCAATAGCAGCAGCCCTGCTCTGCCTAAGCATACACTTACATTTATCTGGGACGACGTGAGCATTTTCAGGTTCTGAGCCTTGCCAAGCAGCATGATAGTGACATGACTATTTTGTCAGACACAAGATTCAAATCAGCAACCCTTCAGTCACAGACACAGAGTCCAAACCCGCTAAGCGACACTCACCCAATTCACCATGCAACTAAAGTTTCCTATGCCTCTGCATGATGAGCATTGCTGCTACGCTGTACACCACAGTTACTAGGTAACAGGACTCACACGTGTGATAAAAGACAAGTATTTTCACTCATAAATTGACCCCATACTGCCCTTGTATCAATTTTATACACCTCACCCCCCACACATGCACAAAGACATCATTAAAGGACAGACACTCACACCTGGCCAGCAATTCATCTCGTAATCAGTCTTTAAATCTGTCCCATAGTGAGTCATCACTAAAATAGCCATCGTAAAAAAATTACACAAGGGCGTCTCTAATAATATGACTCAATTAAAGCCAAGATGATGGACTTAAGCCCTTTTCAATGGTTTTCATGAGACACTACCACTACCCTGCATAATAACATGCTCACCGTACTGTACACTCATTTGATAAATAAAAATTAACCAAATTCAGCAGTTTGGTAATAGATGACAAGCTTAGAAAAACAGCTTAAAATAATGCCATACAATTAAACAAAAATAACTTTTGTAACATGATCTCTGGAATAGAGGTTTGAGTACTTTAAATGGCTCAGTGTCACATATCTTGCACTGTGCCTTGGCTCATTTTCAAGTATTTTTTGAAATGTAACTGTATCAGTGAGCTACAATAAGTTTGTTTAGGCATATTCCAGAACTGTGCAGTGGTGGTTTTTGGCCCAGCAGGTTAGGTCTCTTTGGGATCAGAAGGTCTTCAGTTTAAATCCCATCTTTGGCATAAGAAGCATTTCAGTCTGTTCATACTTGTACAAATGGCAAATACAGCATCATGTCTTTCCTGCAATTTTTGGCTGGTGTCTCATAGGCTTCAAAACTTTAGCTTTAATTCTTTTCTAGAGGATAATCACAAATTCTCTTCTGCCTCGGTAGAATTCAATTAAATTAAGTGATAATATCAGAAATTCAATTGTAATTAGTTATAATGTGTATTTCTGATATCAGAAATTCAACTTCAGTTAAAATATTTTTTAATATCGGTAATTTAGTTTTAGCTAGTAAAATGTCAAATGTTTATATCAGAAATAAACTTTTAACAAATTGAAAATTCAATTTCTGATATCAGGAATTCAGTTGTAACTAATTAATTTAGTTTTAATTGTAGCTAGTTACAAATGAATTCCTGATATCAGAAATTGCCATTGTAACTAGTTCCAAATTCCATTCCCACTGAAATAAATGAGAAAAACTTGTTGAATCTCACTAGCTAAAACAGAATTTCCACTATCAAGAATTTGCATTCTGACTAGTTAGAATTGCTTTATTTTGTTATTTATTTTTTTATACAGTTCAGAAAAGAATATTACATTTCATTTAATAAAGACCTTCAATTTCAAAGGCTTGTTTTGTATTACAGTGTCA